CCTGTCTTAGGAAGGTGGGTCAGATCTTTCACCCACCCCTGAACTGGCAGAGTGGTCTTGACTATAACTGCAGCTGTTTGAGTTATTGGCTCTACTGCCTGTAATGCCGAATAGGCAGCCAATAACTGTTTTTCAATCATACTGTATCTTTCTTCTGCTCCGTGCCAAACCTGAGACCAGAAACCAATGGGGGTCCGAACAGAACTCTGGCGCTGCCACAGGCCCCAACCGAAGCCGTCTTGAGTAACATGAACGTCCAACTCGGCTGGGAGGGTAGGATCGAATATACCCAATGCCTGAGCTTGTTTAACTGCCAGTTTTGCTTGTTGGAAAGCATCCTGTTCGGTTTTCCCCCAGTCCCATAGCTGCCCCTTTTTTGTGAGTCTGTATAGTGGCCTTAGCAGCTGCGCTAGGTGAGGTATAAAGGAACGCCAATAACCCAATATACCTAGAAACTCTTGCAGCTGCTTTGATGTTGTAGGGACTGGGAACGCCTGAACCTTATCTATAACAGCACTGGGTAGCACTTTGGTCTTTCCTGACCAAACCACCCCCAGGAATTTTACGGACAGGCCTGGACCTTGCACCTTTTGGGGATTTATAGCCCATCCCCTCTGTTGTAAATAGGCAGTTAATGAATCTGCTGCCTGTCCTACTGCCTCCAGTGAGTCGGATGTCAACAGCAGATCATCAATATAATGATATAGGTTAACATCATCAGGTTTTCTCCAGTCAGCCAGGTCACGCGCCACTAGATTGTGACAATACGTTGGTGAATGCACGTACCCCTGTGGCAGGACCTGAAAGGTCCACTGCCTGCCTCCCCACGTAAACGCAAACTGATCTTGCAATTCCTCAGCAATTGGGATACTGAAGAATGCATTTGCTAGATCTAGGACACAATGATAGGTTTTTATCTCCCTCCTCAATGTGTCCATTAGGGAGGCAATATTGGGTACGGCCGCATGAATAGGCGGCGTGACCTTATTTAATTCTCTGTAATCTACTGTCATCCTCCATGTGCCATCCGACTTTCACACTGGAAACTGGGGAGTTATAGAGTTATACGGGCTGTGTGCAGGTCTTATAATGCCCACTTTTTCTAATTCCTGCACCATTCTCGATATTTCATCCTGCCCACCCGGGAGTCTATACTGTCTAACATTAGTAATCCGGCGTGGTTTCGGCAGGCAAACAGGCTCATGTTTCGCATGGCCTCTTAATATTGCCTGCACCGCCCGGATACTGATACATCTTTGTCTGAACTCTCCCACAGTTGTTTGGAGAGCCAGATCCCATAGAATGTCTATGCCCAGGATGTATTCTTGGACTGGGGCAATAGACACCTTGTACTCCCGGGGTGGGAGACGCCCAACCCCCAATTTTAACCATGTTTGGGTGACAGGAATAGTCTGTCCCCCAAAGCCACCAATCATCACTCTGTCGCCATCAAATTTTCCCGGATCTCCATAGATAATTGATGTTTCTGCTCCTGTGTCTACTAGTGCCATAACTCTCTGAATATTTTTTCGGGACCAATAAATCGTTAATTCTACATAGGGCCTCCGGTCCCGTCTGGAGGCCCTACGGGGACTAACATCCCTTGTCACTGCATGAATTGTGCTAGGGCCAGTTCTTTTGCTTCTGACGGCTCAGGCATTGTGGCCCGAGACACCTGAGGTGGCTTCTTTTTCCTGTTTGGAATAATAAAATCTTCTAGGTTCCATGTTGTTGTTGGAACCCTCTCTATAGCTCTTACCCTTGATTTCTTAGGGTAGCTCTGGAATTTTTGATTGTCCTTTAGTTGTCTCCAGAGCTGGAGAAGGACGTGGTTGGGCTGGCGGTCGATCTTAGCAAATTGGTCCCCAGCCCAAATTAAATCATTAAACATTTGTTTTCGGGATACCCTGATGGGTCCCGATGGAGGAGCTCGAGTAGCCGGCATTTTGGTTTTATTTACCGGCAGGACCTCTGCTTCCTCCAAAAACCGAATATTGCACCTAGTCCGCAGGTGTTCTGTTTCTCCCAAGTCGGCAACTAACTGGGCAGCCTGCTGGGCTTCTGATGCTACAAGGGGATTTAATATGGAAACTAGGGTGCCGTACAGATGGGAGGGAGCTTGCTGTAGAATTAAATCTCTCATCCCTGCTGAAAATTTAACCATATCAGGGCCATCAAATGTATCTTCATAGATGGCCTCTCTTACACCCAGTTCACGGATATAGTTTTGAAGGTCCTCCATGGAGGACCACATACCTGTATGTAACGGTATGTCTGATTTATTCGGCCATACCATATGGCAGGCCGCCATTAACCATTCCAGTATGGAATGGTTTTCATCACGATATTGATTGCCTACGTATAACCTCTGTCTGAGAGCAGGATGGACGGTCATGGTGGCCAACTTAGCTATTTCTGGGCCATTCACCAAGACACTTTCTGCCCCAGAATCCCACAATCTCAATAACCAAGCCAGCACACTTTCTCTAGGCTTCTGCCGAAATCGTTGTACTAAGTCCATTAATTCTGTTGCCGTGTATGGCCGAGCTGTAACATGTAAATGAGTCTGGGCAGGGGGCCATTGATCAGGCGGCACCCCTGCCGGTCTGTCCTGTACTTTTTTTGTTTTTTTGGGTTACAACAGGATGGACTTCCAGTGGATCAGTTAGAATTGGACATTCAAGATCTGATTAGGATTTCTTGTTCTCCTGATCAACGAAGTCTGTTGATTCAGGAGTCTGGTCATCATTTATTGAAATGTTACGAATTTGGCCTACAGGAAGATGTAGAATTGGCTTCTTCCCCGTTAAAACGCCAAGTTCGTGCTCCAGCTTTTCAATGCGGTCTTTCAAAAGCTGATTTTCAGTTTCTAAAGTATTATTTCTTAAGTCCACATGATTTAAAGCGGTTAATAATGGCCATGCCACCATGGAGGCAGCCAGTTGTCTTTCTTTGGTAGTGAGGACATCCTTGCCATGTCCTTGAAAATAGTCCGCCATGCGATATGGGGAGAGATTGCCCATAACTTGTAAGGGACCCCATTTTTCAATGATGGCAGCTAACTCATAATAGGGCGATCCCTCAAATCCTGGGATCTGCCCTGGAATCATTTTCTCTAGAGGGGTATTGTTCTCCCCCTTGACCCATTTATAGAAATTCCACAGGAAAGACATGATGTTAATTTCAGTATATTCAGCCTGCCTGGCTCACCAAGTGTATAACCAAGATGTTATAATCACAATATAATTGTGTATAATCAATAGATATCAAGATGTTATAATCGCAATATAATCAAGAGAGTAAGGCAAAGCAGACAACGATCACAAAACAGAATAAGTGGAAGAGCTTACCCTTGGGTTGAGCTCACCAGAAAGCACCAAAAGAGGGGATCTCCAGAAGACATCCTTCCCCTCTGGTAGCCAGCTCTTAAATAGGTCCAGGAGCCTTCCAGCAGCACAGGTGAATTGCCTTCACCTGTGCTCCTCTGGCTGACTCATGGCTCACCTCAGGTGATCAATCAGAGGTTCAGGCCATGACTCAGCAGTTCCCATACACCCTCTCCTTTCCCCTTCCCTCCCCTGTCCCTGTGCTGTCCCTGCTCCATGCTGCTGACAGAATCTCCTGGCAGCCCACCACAAAGCTGAAAGAAAACTGTAAGACAGAAGAACAGAAGTGTACCACAACTTTTAGAATAATAAAATCTGAGATTCCTGCGGTCATGGAATCATAGAACCACAGAACCACTGAATCATAAAACCACAGAATCGTGAATCATATGGGTGGGATGAGATTCCAAAAGTCTCATCAGGACATATGTCACATGTTCTCTTTTTTAATAGCTGACAGTCAGAAATCACCATGTTCTATCCAGAAGTCTGTATCGCATACCTGCAGTGGAAATAGTGATGCCTCTGTCTGTCACTAGGACACACAGACTGGGAATCAAAGGCTGAGAGTGAAAAGGTTATTAAGTTTTGAAGTCATTGGACTATGTGCCTAACTTTCAGCAGAACAAAGATGTCCTACTGGTTTTGTTCCCATTATGAGAACAAGAAAGCCTCCTGTCATAGTTTCAAATAAAGTGAGTCTTATTTTATCTTCAGATGAAGAGAGAGGAGTAATGAAACACTGATAAATAACTTAAAACTGTAAATGACTTGATGATTCTTCAAGGAAACACGATTTGCCAATTTTAAGTGTTACATCTGACAGAATATGTATCTGCTCACAGCTTGAGTGGATATTTACATAAGAGATGGGCCATTTGTGAAAAGATCACTTGAATATTTGCTTTGAGAATTGTCCAGGGAGCAGTCAGGTGGAAGAGTTTCCTGCCTCTGATCTATACGTTTGTACAGTCAACAAATGTACAGTTGGAAGAATAGCGCGGTTAGGATTATCGTTGTGGAAAAAAGATTATCATGGTGGAAAAGAGACAATCGAAGAAAAAATGTTTACTCATATCCGAGGATCTAGGCTCACAGTGGAAAATTCGAAAAAGGAGGGATCTCCAGAAAGAGATCCTTCCCCAGTGGTGGTCAGAGCTTAAATGGGGTCTAGGAGGGGTAGTGTATTCAGTACATTCAACCAATAATCCAGCACTACTAACTCTACTACTAAACCCTATCTGTGGTACATCACTTGTATCCATGACATAACATCCACTTTTTGTGGCACATCACCCTGCTGGGCCCTGGGCTTGTGTTGCTGGGTAGCAGTTGGAGGGACTGTCATTGCATCTCCTTTGTTGGGCTGATGAGCTTTGAGGTTTTTTGCAACCTAAATGATTCCAGAATTCTAAGACATTAGGATTCTAAGATTCTAGGATTTCCTAATACCAGGTTTCTAGGATTCGAGTTTTTACATTTTTAGGACTGTAAGGTTCTAAGCTTCTAGGGTTGTAGGATTCTGAGGCAGTGCCTGGACACCAAAGGGACACTGCATGAGGAGATTTCTTCTACATGACATTTTTACAGCTTGTTTGTTTTTTGTTTTTACAGTCCATAACTTAAACTTGAGCCTGGAAAGAGATGATGAGAAAGATGTCTTGATGTGTTTAGTTGACAACAATGAGCACAAACATGAGATCCATGCCTGCTGGATTGATCTGGAAGCACAGACCTGGATGATGGGAAGATTTCCAAAGGCATTTTTCCAGCATTTTGGGGGACTTCTGGCCTCAGAGCGTATGCACTGCGGTGCTGAGAGGCTGCCCTCCTACAACGATGACAGCAGCGGCTCCACCCCCAGTAACCTGGGTGGGGACAGAGAAGGGTACTGAGGCCCCATCCCTGCCCAAACGCCATCCCTGCCCACGGTGCGTCTCCGTCCCTCTCCCTGTCTCACGTCCCTTGACGCCCCAGGACGGAGTCCTCGTTCCTACCCTCGTCCCCGTGACCCCTCGTAGCCCGCGGCGGGGTTCCGTCCGTATCCTTGTCTCCACGTTCCCTCGCTCTCCGTGCTGCGGTCCCTTGTCACGTCCCTGACCCCTCACACCCCGTCCCGCCACCGTTCCCCTCCCGGGACCGCCGCACCGCCGCCATTTTCTCCGTCGAACGGCGGCTCCATGGCGGCGGCGGCCTCAGGCGGTCGAGGGCCGCAGCGGCCGAGGGCGCCGGGGCGCAGCCCGTCCCCGGGCGGCTACCCGAGCTCCAAGCCGCTCGGCCGGGACGGCTTCGCTTCTTGGCGCCAGGACGGGTCCGTCTCCCCGGGCCCGCGGCGGGAGCTCCCCGGGCACTGTCGGGGTGAGGGCAGCGCGCGGGGCTACGGGGCCGGGGCCGGGGCCGGACACCCGGCCGGGGCCGTGCCGAGCGCTCCCCTTCGGTTCCCTACCGCAGAGCCCCTCCGCACCGGCGAAGATGAGGAGAGCGAGGAAGAGGAGAGAGGTGCGCGCGGCGCCGGGTCCGGCTTTGGGGGCGTTGGGGAGGCGCGGCCCGCCGAGCGCGCCGCGCCTCGGAGTGGGGGGGGGGGGGGGCGCCGCGCTGCGAGGGGCCGGGCGGGCGGCAGGCGGCTGCTGTGCGGGCGGCTGTGCCTCCTCTGTCCGTTAATTAATCGCTTCACACCTTTTCATTTTTACGACTCCGTTGCCTTTCTTCAGTTTCATCACTTTTTCCCCCCCAAATACTTTCTGCCGATTGTTTTCGGATTCGTTCTTTTGCCTCACAGCTTTCAGAAATTCGTCACTGTTTTCAAGAATTTATTTTACAATTCTTTCACGACTTCATTGATTTTTTTCCACGTATTTTTCCCAAATATTTCTCATTTCTTGAATTAATAATTTCTGTTTTAACATTTTTTTGCTTTTTAAATGAATTCGTTGGTCCCACTACTTTTTCACAGATCAGGGACATTTTTCAAGATTTTGAAAAACAAATTTCTTGCTTTTTCTCACATATTTTCCCAAGCTTATCCCTTTTGTTCTGTGAATTCATTTTTTTTTTCACAAATCTGTCAAATTCATTGTTTTCACAATTTTTTTTAGAATTGATCTTTTTTCTTTCATGGTTTTGTCAAATTTCAGATTTTCCAAACAAATGCATTTAAACAGAATTTGCAAAAATTCATTTTCACTTTTTTCATGAATTTAACATTTTTTCATTCTATCATTATTAGTCGTTCATATTTCATATCACTGTATCACATCAGATCACCACGTTGGCTTTTCATGAATTCATTCCATTTTTTCTCCCCAATTTCTTCCTGATTTTTTAACTTTTTTTTTCAAGATTTCATCATGAATTCACCCAATTCTTTCACAAATGTGTGGCCAGTTTTTGATACCATGCATTTTTTAAAGAATGCATCATTTTTTCACACATTCATTGAGTCCTATTTCACATTCTTTTCACAAATTTACGTCTTTTTTTCATACAAATTAATTGAACTTTATCTTTTTTCAGTCTTTTTCTACATTTTTTACTTTTTTTCCACGATTTTTTTTCACTTTTTCACAAATTCTTCACCTTTTCCTACGGATCCATGTATTTTCCCCTCACATTTATTATTTTTTTCACCTGTTTATTTTTTTTTTCACAACCTTTTTCATGAATTTATTATGTTTTTCATTTTTCACCTTTTTCACATTTTTTCACTTCTTTCCAAATATATTGCTTCTTTTACACTAATTCATGCTCTCTTCTCCCTGTTTAGAAGACGTGGATGAGATCTTGCTGCTCACCAATTTTTTCTCTTTGTACACAATATTTTCATTAGGTTTTTCATTATTTTTTTCCAAACATTCCACACATTTTTCACAATTCCATTTGTTTTTTCATGGATTCATCACTTTTTTACATGAATTTGTTGCATTCTCTTCAGAAATTTTGCAAGAAGTCATTATTTTTTCATGTTATTCTTTTATTTTACAAATTCATGGCGCTCTACCTAAGGAATTGTCACAGATATGTCTTGCTTTTAGTTGGTTTTGGCTTTTTTTTACTGAATCCCGTTTTTTTCTTCCACAATTTCTTCATGAGTTTTTTCCTTTTCTCTTTTTTCCCCACAATTTTATCATGAATGAACCTTTTTTTTTTTTTTTTTTTTTCAAATTTTATCATCAGTTTTTCTCATGCTTCTTTTTTTTCCATCTGATTAGTCCCTTTCTTCATGGATTCACCGCTTTACATATTCTTCTCACAAATTTATCCATTTTTTCCACAATTTCATAGTTTTCTGCTACGCACGTTTGTCCCCACTTTGCAGAGGACCTGGCTGAGAGTTCACTGCTTAACAAGCTGCTCCACACCTCGCTGGTAGAGAACAGCCACCACGTGGAGGTGCTGCAGCAGGACCCCTCCTCCCCGCTCTTCTCCATCAGAACCTTCGAGGAGCTGCACCTGTGAGTCCCCCAGCACCTGGCCTCGCACACCCCACTTCCTATAGAACGCCCTGGTTGTGCTTTTTCGCAGGAAAAAGGAGCTTCTGCAGGGCGTGTACACCATGGGCTTCAACAGGCCATCGAAGATCCAGGCGAATGCTCTGCCCATCCTGATGGCGCATCCGTGAGTCCTGACCCCGCAGGGAGGGATGAACCAGCCCAGCCCAGCTGCTCCGAGTCAGGTGCCGGCGCACAGACCCCAGACTTTTACTGCTAACGTTTCCCTTGCAGACCCCAAAATCTGATTGCGCAGAGCCAGTCTGGGACGGGCAAAACAGCAGCGTTTGTCCTGGCCATGCTGAGCAGAGTGAGAGGCACTGAGAGGTACCCGCAGGTGTGCAGCAGGGGCATGGCCGCTGGGAGGGGCAGAGATCTGGGTCTGCTGCTGTTGTGTGTGGCTTTGGGGTGTTGCAGGCAGAGCTCTGGGTTTGTGTCCGTTTTGTCATTGCTGTTGATTATAATCTCAAGTATCGTCATTGCTGCTCATCGTAAACTCAAGCATCCTGGTTACTGCTCACTGTAATCTCAAGCATCCTGGTTACAGTTTTTTGAATTCTCTAATATTAAACATCCTAATTGATGCTCATTATAATCTGCAGCTTCCTGGTTGCTAGTTGCTAGTCATTCATACTTTTCAATGCTTTTTGATGCTTTTTGATGCCTGCCCGTTGCCTAATACCTCTCCCCCCCCTCCTAGTGCCTTTGTCTGGCTCCCACTTATGAGCTGGCCCTGCAGATTGGCCATGTGGCAGAGAAGATGGGGCGGTTCTGCAATGACATCAGGGTCACCTATGCTGTGCAGGGCAACAGAGGTTAGTCCAGCCCTGATGAGTGATTACAGCAGTTAGCAATCCCTAAGTGAGTATAGGAATGCCTCATAAGCCTTGAAGTGCCAGGGCTTGCTGAAGCTTGCAGAGCTTGCTGAAGGAGCCTGCATTCACGTGTGCTGCTGATAAGGAGCCACCCTGATGACTACTGTCTTCTTTTTGACACAGACACCCATTTTGCTGGTATCTAACCTCAAAAAGCTGCAGGCAAGCACTAAGCTTAAAAATTGCTGCCTGCAATAGAGCTTCCCTTTGGAACTGAGAAAGTGAGGGACAAACTGACATGAAACACATCGAACTGACAGAAGCACATAATTTGTGGAGTTTCCCGCTGGAAACCCCTTTGCACATCGTTTTGCCCATGCCTTGTCCGTTCCTTCCTTCTTCCTTGTCCCTTTCTTTACTGTTCCTTGCTTGTTCCTTGTCCATCCCTCTTCTTGTTTCCATTCCCATGTCCTTCCCATTTTTTTTGCCCACCCCTCACCCGTCTCCCATTTTTTGCCTGTATCTTTTTCCTTTTTTTGGCACCCTTTGCCCCTCTCCTTCCCTTCTTTTGCAACCCCTCTGGCAGTGTCCCCAGGCACCGTGCTGGAGGAGCAGATTGTCATTGGCACGCCAGGCACCATGCTGGACTGGTGCTTCAAGCGGAGACTGCTCAACATGCGGAGGATCTGCATGTTTGTGCTGGATGAGGCTGACATCATGATTGACACGCAGGGATTCTCCTCCCAGAGCATCCGCATCCAGAGGTGAGTCATGGAAATCTGCTTTTGGCATGGGAAGATGCAAAAGGAGGGAGGAGGAAGGTAAGATCTTTCACAAAGGGCTTGCTTTCTCCAAAATGTGCTGATTTGTTTGTGTTTTTCCATAAGATTCACATTCATTGTTAAATTGTAAAATTTTCACCAAAAAGTGCTAATGTACAAAGTCCTAGAGTAAATGAGTCCCAATGCTATTGAATTCCATGGGCTAACAAACTATCAGTGCTCTTGAGTCCACTGTGCTATGTAGTTCCTCTTTTTAATGAATCCTTAGTGCTAACAAGCTGCTAAGTCTGACGAGTTCTTCTCCTGCCCCAGGGCTCTCCCCAAGAACTGCCAGATGCTGCTTTTCTCCGCCACCTTCAAGGAAAATCTCTGGAAATTTGCCCTGCAAATTGTCTCCAGGCCCATCATCATCAAGCTGCGACAGGAGGAGCTCACTCTGACCAACATTAGGCAGTACTATTTTGTCTGCAAGAACTGGGAGCAGAAGTATGAGGCCCTCTGCAACCTCTATGGCAGCATCACCATTGGCCAGGCCATGATCTTCTGCCAGGTACCTCTCATCTGCAAACTAGTGAGTAACTAGTATTCTGTCTGGCATGTTCAACCCAAGAGTGACCTCAGTGCTGCTCCATAGATTGCCACAATGAATGCAGGGGAAGGATGGAAAGCACACAGCATTCAAAACTCAGTGTGGTAACAGTGCCTAATAGTTGAGACCACCAATGCCTTGGTGGGCATTGCATGGAAACCATGCTCTGTTTCTTTAACATTTACACTTTGTGTCTAGCAAAGACACTTTGTGATCCAACTTCTTGCCCTGCTGCTTCATTTTTGCTCCTTTGTGTCCCAACTTCCTGCTTGTTTTTGCCTTATTTCGAGGCTCTGTCTATTCCAAAGCACCAGGGGCTCAATGGAAAGGAGCACAGGCATTGGGAATGTGAAGGACTGGCACTGAGCAAGCAAGGATTTGGTAAAGTGATGTATTGGCATTAAGCTAGATGAGCGGTAGTAAGGATTTGGGGAAGTTGAAGGGTCGCTGATTGAGAGCAGCAGATGCAGAGCTGCTGGGAAGCTCAGCTTTTTCTCACGTACGCAGACCCGCCGGAGTGCAGACTGGCTCTCGGTGAAGATGATTCAGGATGGGCACCAAGTGGCCATGCTGACAGCAGAGCTGTCCATCGTGCAGAGAGCTGATGTCATCCAGAGGTTTCGTGATGGCAAGGAGAAGGTTCTCATCACCACCAATGTCTGTGCGAGAGGTCAGTCCCAAAAACAGACACGCTGAAGGGTGAAAATCTGCTTCCTTCCCCTATGAAAATTCCTTTGCTCTGAGCCCTGTTGTGTGGAAATCCCCTCGCTTTGAACAGTTTTAAGCACTTAGGTTTCATACTTCAAGTTTCCAACCGTGCAGTGACAGGCAGAACTTTATCATGAAAGCTGAGGCTTTTCTCAGTATGATTCTGTGAATTAGGAAAAATTGACCACGATGGGGACTCGAAGGCAAAAGGGATGATAAATGCAAGTTTATTACAGAAATGATCACAAAAAGAAAAAAATGATCAGAAATGCAAGGAAAAATTGGTCAGAAAGGCAAGGAAAGAGGGATTAGAATGGGAATTTGAGAGAAAAAGTGATCAGAAACGCAGGTGAAGCAGTGATCTCATCCAATGTGCACAGCAATTAAGAAGCAGCCTTCAGAAGGGGTTGGGAGATGGCTTTTAGGGTGATAAAAAGCTGTTTCTGAGAATCCTCTGCCACTCAGGGATTGATGTGGCCCAAGTCACGATTGTGGTGAACTTCAGCCTTCCCATCAACCGTCAGAAGCAGCCAGATTTTGAGACCTACTTGCACCGCATCGGGCGCACAGGGCGCTTCGGGAAGAGGGGCATTGCCTTCAATATGGTGGACAGCCACAGCACGCACCTCGTGCGCTGCATCGAGGAGCATTTCCGTGAGTGCAGTGTTCCCTTGTTCCTCTGTTCCTCCAGTGCAGCCAAGGACTACAAGCTCACCACTTGGTCGTCCACTTCTCACTTCTTCTGCAGTAGCTGGAATTTCGTTTTTGGTTAAAAAAAGCAAACAGGGAGTGGGACTTTGCAGAGACAGAGCTGAGAAATGATTTAATAAGAATATATAATTTAATAAGATATAATGATACAAAATTAGAAGACAGACTACAAGGATTAGAAGCAGGGCTGAGCACGCTGATCTGCCCCATTTTGAAGTCCCATTTTCTGCTTTCTTTGGCCTCTCTTCTCTGTGTTTCTTCCTGCTGCCTCCTCGTCCATATTCTGTTACAGGTTTCTAACAATTCTATTCTGTGATTCAGTTCCCTTACCCTTCCCACCACAGCTGTGTTTTTCTCACGCTTTTCCCAGTTATAAAATGCAGGGTGAGCCCCCTGGAGTGGTCCCTGTGATTTCCTAAATAACAACAATGAATGAGCTTTGTTCCTTGTAGTTGTCTCAATGTTTGTTTGTTTCTCTCAGTTTTCTTTCTCTTTTTTCCCCTTTTCTCTTTGTTTCCCAAAGATGAGACTTAATGTGGCAAAGAGACCAGCGTGTAGTTTGCAAGATGAAAAACCCAAGTGGTGGAGTAACCTCAATTATCTGATCTTATTTCTTCATTCTCTTCAGTCAATATTCATGTTGAGATTGAAGGGACAGGACTGTCTTACAAGGATAAAACATCTTCCAAATGTTGTTTGCTTTTAGGATAGAACATCTTCCAAATCTTCCATTTTTTAGATTAAAACATTGTATAAATGTTTGTTGTTTTGGGGACAAAAAGTCTTTCGAAAATTGTGCCTTAATTCCTAGTGAGTGATGAAAATTGATGTGGGAGCCCAGATCACATCTCACCCCAACCCAAACTGATGCTTTTCACTTAAACCCTCTGTACAAATCTTACTTTTTTTTAGCAGCCCCAAAGCAGCGGCACCTTGCCATTGCCCGGGACATTTTTCCTTCTTGCACTGACATTTTTTTCCTTTTTACAGAGACTAAGATCAAGAGGCTGGACCCAGATTGCATGGACAAGCTCGAGGAGCTGGAAAACTGAGCAAAAAACATGGTTTAGCTTCAAAGAACTCACGTTTTGGTTTAAAGTATATGGGAAATCCAGGAGAAAATCTCCCAGTTTTCTGAGTTCCTGGAGGTGCTTGGTTTGTTGAGACATTTTAGAAGGAGAGTATGGGGAAAAACCCTCAGCCTAAAAAAATTATTCTGATTGGTTTCTTTGGTGTTTTGGGGGAAGGAATCTTGGTGTTTTGTGGAAATGCTCCTTGATTTTCGGGCAGTGTTTGCCTGTTTTGGGCACTGTTGCTCTGTTTGGGATACTGCTGCCCTGTTCTGGGCTCTGTTCCTTGTTTTGAGGTGGTGGTTTGTGGTTCCGGGGCACTGTTTGTTGGCTGAGGGTACGATTCCTTGTTTTGTTGGTTGTTGTTGTTGTTTTTTTTCTCTGAAGGAAATAAGTTTAAAGCAGACAAGTCCCAGTTCAGCCATCTTGGTGTCTAAGATCTGTGCAGAAACTAGTCCTGAAGAGTGGAAGCACTGTTCTGGAATGTGTTAATTTCAAGGAGTGTGGAAACTCTGGGGAACCAAAAAACAGTTTATTAAAGATTATAAACACGAGGGAAAAATGCTATTTTTTTCCTAGTTTCTTTTTTTCCATTTAAATAAAAGAGTTTGGTGCTTAATGATCCCTTTGTTTTAGAGGGTGTTCAGCATACAACATCAAAAACATTCAGTTACTCCAGTAATTTTCTCAGGTCAGCACCAAAATGTTTTACATTATTGGTAAGTCTCGGCTCTTAATGGTGGGCCTGATTTTCCTCTCACTGACATCAGGATTAAATTAATGGAAGACTATGGATTTGCACTGCAGTATTGCAATAAATGGGGTTATACCACAGAAATCTGCTGTGGCCACATGAGGGTAGTAACACTAAAAGCCTCTTTCATCTGCATTTCCTACAAATTCTGCAGGAAATTCCTAAAAGTTACCTGCTCTCACCCCTCCAGTTATTATTACAAAACTTTAATTGAGAATTAACTTCACCTTTTTTGTTGGTGGTGCATTGTTTACTGGATTGTCAATCTTCAGGCAGGTAGTGTCACATAATAAAGGTTTAACTAGAACAGACTTAGCAAATACAGACAGAGATTACTAACTGAGCTGAATTTCAGCATGCCAGGCACCTGCATCTCTCACCTTCAGAATATTGTTGTTAACGTTTACAGGTTTTGTTTTGTTTTTTTTTTAAGTTTTAGATTTTAAGGGAGGGGAAGCAATTTTTCCTCTGGGACTGAATGTTTGCTTTCATTTTGCCAGTTGCGTTGTCTCCCAGTACTCTAACAGCAGACAGGTCAGCAGGAAGTCAACTGTTGTACAGCAGGACGCCCTGACAGTTATTTCCTGACTCAGAGGCGATAGTTTGGGAGAAGATTTAATGTCTTTTTTCTTCCTTTCTCTTTTTTTTTTTCTTTTTTATTTTACAAAAAGTACAAAGAATGTTTTCCAGCACTGTGTTTGGAGGACATAGATGCCTTCAGGCACAGGGGCACCGACACCTGGGGCCAGTGTTCATGCCCTGCAACCCACACTCAGCTTCCACCTCAGCTCTACTCTGCTGCTTACATGATCTCCCTTACCTTCGCGGTGCTTCCAGCTCTCCTGACTGTGGTTAAGGGTATCTTTTCAGCAGGCAGTCTGTACGCATGTCCTTTCCACTGCTCTCCACATTTTCCTTTCTCTTTTCTCTTTATTCATTCATATACTTCCCAACTATTTGGCTGCTGTATGAGTTAGAAACTTGTCTTTAGTCTCTTTAGTCTTTAGTCAACTTTTAGTCAACTCTTTAGTCAACTACTTAATTGTGTTTATCATAGAACCATATCACAGAATCACAGAACAGGCTGCGTTGAAAAGGACCACAATGACCATCTCGTTTCAACCCCCTGCTGTGTGCAGGTCGCCAACCAGCAGCCCAGGCTGCCCAGAGCCACATCCAGCCTGGCCTTGAATGCCTGCAGGGATGGGGCATCCACAGCCTC